CATTTGTTGCGATTCGATTTTTCTTTCTCGAGATATACCAGTTTTAATGTGCAGTACTTCGGTATTATGTTATGAAAAAAGCATCCCTTGATTCAGAAAATTTTGGTGCTTTTAGTGTGGTAAAACGCTTTTTATCCAAGTTTTTGGTGCTTTTTGAAAATCAAAAGATGGCAACACTGCATGTTTATGTTTTGTGTTAAACTGGCATCGATCGCTGCTTGTACATACATACATGAATTTCGCTTTGGGCGCAGCGCTGCTTGTACATAACTGGCCGTCTCCACAGGATAAAATTTATTGCTGCCCAGCTGTCATTTTGGTCGCTAGATATAAGTTATATCAGTGGCAATATTTGTGTGGGTTTTTTATATCTTGATATAAGCATTTGTAAGATAGCTTTCAAAATGTATTTTTGCCGGATTTAATCGTTTAAAAAATTTAGAAAATAGGCTACTTTACATCCAAGTACNAATGTATTTTTGCCGGATTTAATCGCTTAAAAAATTTAGAAAATAGGCTACTTTACATCCAAGTAAATAATTACAAATATTTTAACAGGAAACAACTAAATTTTTGCTTTTATATTAAAATAATAATGATGTTGCAGCCACGAAGTTTCCGCGCAAATGAAAATATAGCTATCAAACTACCAAATTGCCGGCAATAGATGGCAAGATATAAGCTCTGATATATATTGCTCTTGAAGAGCAATGAGCGGTCTCCATTGGCTATTTATATTCTAACATATGTATCAATTATGTGGAGACGGGCATTAAGTTTCGCTTTGCGCCTGCCTGAAGCTGGCAAAGGTTCTTTTTTTATAAGCTTTTATTTATTTATGCGCTGTGCTAGCTGAGTATAAAAAAGAGAATAGAGAATAGAGAGAAATATGTATGTGGTTTGTTGATGCTCTCTAAACACAAACGCGTGAAAGGCAAACGGTCTAGCAATGCGTGGTATTGCTGATCAACTTCTCTCAATCGTGGATCAACTTAATACTTTATTTAAACATAAGGGTTGCTCACACTTCGAGTGTGTTATCTTGTTAAAGTTGCCACCAGGGATGCCGTTTGGATCCAAATAGATCCAATTGGATAAATTTTTAGACGGATTTTTGCGAGATACTTATTTTTTCCGATCAGTATAAATGTGGATACTTTTTTAAATTGGCCAAAATTTTATATTTTCCATAACGTTTTTTCATTCAAAAATCGATTTCCATTAAGGATGGTAAAAAACATTAGGTTTTCTAAATGCANCATCTTTCTCTTTGACACCATGTCTGAAATCCCACGTGATCTGTCAAATACTAATGCATGAAAATCCTAACCTCAAAAAAATCACCCGTTATATATATATAAAGTATAAATGTAGTGATCTCTTTTATATCACATATTTTCATTTCTTAACTTAACAAGTAATTTTTAAGCAAAAAAAAAACCGACTTCAATTCTTATATAAACATTTAAGATTATCGTTAATTTCTTCATGATACAATGATCGGTTTTAAACCAAACTAGTATGGACCAACTATAAGGTAACACCTTTACTTAAAAGAAAAAGAATTATTGAAATCTGTTAATGTAGTGCAATGATATGCGGTAACATACATAAAAAAAATTTCCGACGAATTGATAACCTTCTGCTTTTGGTGAAGTCGGTTAAAAAGAAAAAAAGATCTCAGTGTCGTTTAAAATACACTGTTTAAAAAACTAAATTTGATTTATTTAAGGAAATTTGTATGAATTTTACTGAAAAGACTTTAAATACATTCTAAACAATATTTATTCAAATTTGCGTACTTATATAAAGAGAGGTAACCAGTTTCCTCTTTTAATGTGTGCAAAGTTTCCACCGTGTAATACAATTAAACACTGCCTGTTTACTTTTACCTGCACTTTTTAGAGTGTACAGGTACAAATGTAACATATTAATTACTATTTATTATACTTTTCAAAATACTTTTGCACAAAAAATTTAACTTACAAACTGAAATTATATATGTTTGATTTTATGGAAAATAAAAATATATACATGTATTCCAAGTGCTTAGGATGGGTTAAATTATGTATTTTTCTTGAAAATGTTTTGTTTTCTTACAAAATATGAGATGGATACTTAAAAGGAGAAAATTGGATACATTTGGGTACATTTTTTGCTTGGTCGGTGATACATTTTTTTGAGGTGGCGCGGCAACACTGGTTGCCACCTTTTAACTTTAGAAGTACACTGTGAATACCCTAAATATGCTGAATACCTTAAATAAAACAATAATATTCTTGGTTGTTACGAGTGACTTTACATATATAATTAGTATTTCTACTTTCGATTTATTAAAAATAAGTAATGTGAAATTTAGCTGAACCAGTTTAGCCATTTTTAGCCCGTTTTTTTGCCAATTTAGCCGGTTGGCCCAAAAAGTTCTGGCAACACTGGTCTTAATATATCACTTTCAAAACGGCATCAAGCCAATCAGATCAATCTGTACCCAATGTAAATGGCGCGGCAAAATGAAAACTGACTTGTCAAACTACGAAATGACTGCTGATGTTAAGACAGCGATGGAAAGAAATTTGGCAAGACAGATATGGCTTAACAGGAGAAATTTGCGGCCTCCACCCGACATTTCTGCCTTAACACAGCTTTTTTAACAAAATCTGTAGAAGGTGGAGACGTGGGGTTTAGACCCTGTCTCCACAGGAAAACACTGATGTCGTGATAACCATGTCACAAAAGTTCTTAAAGATTTAAATGGTTTTAAACACCGAAATTGAAAGAATGTTGCCTGGTGGCGTCATTCGTCGAATGCTTATTTCAAGACATCAAACACACACACAAAAACTTGCAATCATATTGCTCGTCAAAATGACAATTGTTAGGCCATCGGTGTTTGCCTGAGGAGTTCTGCGGTAAGAAACACCGTGGCGAAAATTTTAACTGCTCCTGTAACACTACCTCATATGAGTTCGCCTTGCTATCATCGGTGACGTAACTATATAATCTGAGGCCCGTGGCAAATTCTTTGGATGGGGCCCTCCCAGTAAAAGTCGTCACGTTGTAATTTAATTTTAATAAACCACTTAAGTAGTTGCCCAACACTATTACCAAAAATACCTCTGATCCAATATTTTTCNAAAAAAAAAACATGCAAAATACACGGGATTTATTCCAAAACAAAAAATTTATGTATTTTTTTATTAAAATTACTACGGTGTATATTTCTCAAAAATATATGTTTTGTAAAAGTATAATTCATTTATAAACAATATATACTTTAATAAAATAAAATGTCTATCATACTTGGGCGTACAAAATTTTTGATTCTTATTCCCCGAAAATTTGTCATCCGCCCATAGTAAAACCATGGAAACCAAAAGTGAAAACTGAACCGGTTCGGGGAAAATGAAACTATTGATACGGCTGAATGTTTTAAAACGTGTTTTAAATGTAAGTGATTTTTTCCATTGTTTTGAACAAGGTTTTAAACACCCGTTTTAAACATCGCCAACTCTGGGTCAGACCCATTATGTACGAAAGTGACTAAAATCGTGTTCGACTTCCGGAGGGTTAAAATGGCACAAATTATTACAAAACTTTCCTAAGGTAAGAGTCAAAACTTTTTGTAGTTAATACATTCCTATAAAATTTAACCATGTGGAAATATAGGCCGTAGCATAGTTAGTCGAGATAAAGTTGACTCTTAAGTTGCAGCTATTTTCGAGAGACATCCCATTGATAATTTTGTCAAAACATGTCTTATAAATTTACAACCAACTCCTTTTTAACTCAGACTGCGGGACCTTGTTTTTGAATTCATCAAAGCTGCCCTTTTAGCTTTAAAAGGTACTAAGTACATATATGCAAAAGTATTAATCTCTGTTGACAAAGTCGCGAGTATCAGTTGCGTTTTCTATAAACATATGCATACTTATGAAAAAATATGTATACGTAAAAGGCGTTTTTTGTATTTGAAGTCTACTATATTTTTTTAAGATTTTTTTTAATAAATAGTATACATATCTTAGAAATGTTGGGTCATAAATTAAGGCTTGGCCCGACTCACTATTGTCGAGATCTTATGAAAGTCGAAACGCAATATTTCTAATAATAATATTACGGCATACGACGTCGAGTGAAAGAGTTATTTGCAAAAATACCGTGGATTCCGTAAGCGGAGTTATTTATATACACAATAAATGATATAGTATACTTTTTACAATTGGAATTGCATTCAAGAGAAAATATGTATGTATGTATATTTAATTTTATTCTACTCCATTCAATATGAGTAATCATTTGACCACGAATGATATTATTCGGGCTCTTGTGCGGTACTATTCACCAACCTAACTACTCGGCCATATGTAGCAGCCGCGTATATTTACGCAACAAAAAATTAGTTCATGAAAACATTAGGGGCTTATCACTTTATCAAACGATTTTGGTGGATAAACGTATAAATTTCTGCAAAATTCAACCCTGACAGACAGCCAGGTGGTCGATTTTGCTACGAACACATAAAAAGCAAATTAACACAATGGACGAGGAAAGAATGAAACGTAACTAGCCAGATAAGTTAAATCAAAAACAATTTTGCGCAATTATTTATAAAGGTGCGATCATGAAAGAATATGGATAAACTGATAAATTTAAGCAATTTATCCCTTTATCATTTTAGATGAAGACCCCTACTCAAACTTTTTGCAATTAACACCACATTGAGGCAACACGTTTACTGCGACTTGATTTATAGTTTTATTTGTTAATGGATGAAACAGCCGCAGAATGGTTTACAATCTCTGAAGCGCTGCTACTGCATTAATTAAATAAACCAAGATAGCCTACTATTCAAATCGTAAAACGCTGGATATCTATTATTCTCACGCACTTTGCAGTACTTATCTTATCACATGGTGCTTTTTGATAAATGGAGAATAAGGATGCTCATAATGCTATTGGAGTTCAGTAAAGTCTTAGAATTTTAACAAAGAGGTTGTGAAATGAAGAGACATACGCGACTGGAAGCCCCCGATGGGGGTTGGGGAGTCTTCGTTTGTATCGGAATGGCGCTGCCATTCGTGAGGCACACAAAATAATTCGAAAGATTCGCTTGAATAATAACACCAGTCCCTTTCAGATCAGTGGCTTGGCAGCGCTACCTTCATTTGGTTTGGTATTTGGTGATTTCCTGAAAAACATTGGCGCCGAAACAAGCGCTGTAGCCGTCATAACCAGCGCCTTCTTTTGTGCTCTCAGTTTTGCGGGCCTTTTCTCAGGTTCCATGTTCAATCGGTTTGGACTTCGTGCTGTCGGATTGATGGGTGGCTTTTTGTACTTTTTCGGTTCTCTACTACAGATATTTGCACGCTCTACGTGGGATCTGTTGTTCGCCTTCAGCATTGTTCAAGGAATTGGATTTGGATTGATTGTGCCCACATCGTATACTACTTTTAACAATTATTTCGTAAAAAAGCGAGTCATGTGGATGAGCTTTGCGCAGTCCCTCATTGGCTTGGGCACTATGTTCTACCCAGTGGTGATGCAAAAGCTAATGGATCTTTATGGATTTCGTGGTTGTCTCCTGGTCTTGGCAGCAATAAATGCCCACGCAATTCTTGGGATGCTGCTGATGCAGCCGGTGGAATGGCATATGCGCAAGGTAATCATATGCGAGGAACAGCAATTGACGGTTATAAAAACGAGTTTACCGACTGTTGAGAATGAAGTGAAAATAATAAATGCATTACCGGTTTTAAAAACAACAAGTGCCGCCAGCGAGCAGCATGCGCGCAATTGGTGGCAGCTTCTTGTGAATTTCTTGGATCTAACATTGTTGCAGTTGCCAATTTATGTTAACATCGTGTTGGGCATATCTTTCGCGCTCTACTCGGATATTGCATTCTTCACATTGCAACCACTTTATCTGTTTGAGTTAGGCTTCACCAAGGTGAATTCGATTGAAAATCGAATTTAATTCTTCTATTGTAAAACCATCTTTTATGGAATATTTTCAGGCAGATACTGCCAGTATTATAGCCATTGGTGCTGCAGCCGATTTGATTTCGCGCATTTTGTTAGCGTTCTCCGCTGTCTTCATTCAAATGCCGTCGCGCTACATCTACCTGGCGGGTTCGTTCTTTACAATTATTGCCCGATTTGGTAAGTACATCCAGTCTTGACCCACTTGGTAACAGCAACTCCAGTTTGTGTTTGCCGACACTTCTCGATCTACTTACATACATACGTACACTATAGTGGAACTCGTGCTTCTGTGTATTGGTTGTATGTATCTTGCGTAAGTGTAACTGAACGAGCGTGTGATTTTTGTTGTATATGTATTTATATGTACAGCTAGCAACAACAAATTACACGCTCATGCAGTTACAATTTCCCAAGATACAACGAATACACAGAAGCGCGAATTCCACTTATATTGCTTTTGAAAGTTTGCCGATTTTTTTTTTAATTTTTGTGCAAATGCGCAGTTATATGCAGTATATTATTATAATAAGCTAGCCTTACACATAAAATAAACAAAAGATATACCCCTCTATTCTAACAGAGCCACTAAACTTAGCTCATCACTGTTGCGATTTCTTGTGCGCCGCGAAATGTGCCGCGAAAATTAGATTTTATGTTCTAGAAAAATACACAAAAACTTAAAACTTTGTGTTGGCATATTGGCTGCAGTGGCAAACTTAGCGGCGCAGTAGAAATCACAGCAGTGATGAGCTAAGGTTTGTGACGTTGTTAGAATATGGCTGATATATCCAAAACACAGTATATACAGTAATAAACCTTTTCGCATTTGGTCCCCGAGGCGTACTTTTGGGTTGTGTGCATCGTTTTGCTTTTGCGCGCACGGCAACACTTACCGCCTAATGATTAGAAAAGTTCTTTTCCAGGATAAAAACATCAATTATATAAATAGGCAATCATGTTTCCTTTACACCCCTTTTACGGCTAAACTGTACTTCTAAGGTATAAACAATTATATATCATTAGAAAGGTATTTTGATGCTGATGTGCAGGCAATTTTTAAAATTTCAAATTAGTTTAAAATAAAGCGAAAAAATCAATTCAAAAGACACACCCATACCAATGCCATACATGTACATGTNACCACACCTAAATCCACCACACTTTAAGTCACCACACCTTAACTCACCACGCCCCAACTTTCTCACGACATCTTAACTCACCACACCTTAATCTACCACACCTCAACTTTCTCACCACACCTTAACTCACCACACCTTAATTCACCACACCTCTTAAGACCACCACACCTGAATTCATAACACCGTAACTCCCACACNATAAACATAAACATAAACATTAAAAGCGATAGAGACAAAGATAGAGAGGAAGAAAGTGATAGGGATAAAAAGGAAATACAACTGAAGAATGTGCGATGTTATATTGTGATGTGTTATGCTACATATGTTATGTTATTGAATCTAATGCTATTCTATGTTATGTTATGCTAAGTACTAAGCTAAACTCCCCTCCACTTAACCCATTCCAACAAATTTTATTTCAGCTCAACTCAACTCACATAAACTATCCTTAATTTTAGCGGTTGAATTTCAACCGCTGGGCGAACACTAGTATACATAATTATGTGTTATTTATGAACAAAATGTAGGTTAAGTATAATATTCATCTTTAATGATATTCATGCTTAATGAAGAATAATATCAATAGTTAAGTACATAATTAACGCTTGAGTTTTATAAACTGGAAAACTCAAACTATAGCATTGAATGGAGTTTTCTTAAATGTAAGTTTAAAATTAAAAAAAGTCCATTATAAGATTATATTTTTATGAAAAACGTAAATTTTGAGAATTTATCAAGCAAAATTCTAAATTTCCGAATATATAAAAGCCTTTATTTAAAAAAAAAAACAAGGTTTGTATAGCTATACAAACCCAAAAGCCGCCCAGACAGTCCAATAAGCATACCCAAGTTTGAGTGATCTACAAGTTACAGGCGTTTTCAGCATTTAACAGTTCATTATCGTGTACGGTGTAATATAAAAAGTTATACACTGAACTATGATAATCTGTACTATTATCTATAAAAATAGACAATAATTTGCAATGTTTTACACTTTTGCAATTAGTTTCGGTCACTATTACACAGTCATGACTTTTGCCACTCTGCCATAGTACGGTTGTGGCTCCCTTTCATACCACAGTAATTTTGTATACAACTCTGAATCAACAAAATTCATGCTCCTTCTCATTATCAACCCTGATCAGAATTTACCCCCGAGGAGTACTCAAAAAGGTTTCTTACTGTATATACTGTGATTCAAAATAAAACGTTTCTATTATTTCTGCCACCAATACTCATATTTCAAAGCACTGAGGGCGCGCAATGGGACCAAAGCGGCCAAAATTAATAAAAACGGACTAGAGAACTCATAAAAAGCAATTACGCAGATTCATACAATGAAAAAAAATAATATATTTAAAAAAAAAATTTTGATTTTGTCGCAAGTAATTTAAATAAGCTTTTCTACTTGTGCGGTTATATAAGAAGTCAATCTGATTGGTGACCAGTTTTTTAATATTTCTGTGGTCAAGCATTGTTTTAACTTTTTATATATCTAGTGAAATTCATAAAACAGTTTCACTTCAAGTTGTAGGTATAATTCAAGGTTTCAATACAAACTCAGGTCATACATAAATTAGTATTCAGGTAATATAAATGTTTTCGTTTTATTACGTTTAAAAAGAAGAAATGGGAACTTTTTTAGAAATAAAATAAATGTGTCTGTTAATTTTCCCAAAAATTCATAAAATTAAGTACGTGGGGCCAAAAAAGTTTTGTAGGAGTTGGCTGTCATAGTAAGAGAATCTTCATTATCTTCCAAATTGGAAAATTTTTCCGTAAACGGGCAGTGTACAAATTTCATCAAAAAATAAGTTTTTCAAATTTCCTGCTACTTTTCTAAAATAGGTTCTTTCAGATTTATGCTTTTGTTTTTAAAGCCGGCATATACTCTGAATTTATCGAAATCGGATAACATTTATCATTTCCGCCCACGTAATCTATGGGCGTGGCAGTGCGTCAACTTTTACCATTTTCCAATTTTCTTCATTCCTAAGTGCAGAAGAGCGCATTTTCGAAATTTCAGCGAATTTGTTATCCGATTACTACTTTTGTGCGCAGTTTATATGGAATAACTAGGGCCCAGGTCATCAGATCTGCAACGTTCATTCGATTTCCAAAAGTTAGGTGTCAAATTAAAGGATGGCCTGTAGATGTGCAGTAAGGTTTTACATCTTCGAAAAGAGTTGCTACCTGTTACAAAACTAAATTCAAATTATTTAATAATCAATGACATTAGATCCGCAAAGAATCGCTACTTAAGCGTGAAATTAAAGCATTTTATTTTTTGTGAACGAAGCAATGAACATATGAAGAGATCTCACCAAAATAGGTATAAGCGCAATTGCTTTAATTAGCTTAAAGGGATGCTTTAAGCAAGATCTGAATATACATACATATCGTCGTTTAAAGTACAAAACCGCGTATCAACAAAATGCAAAACCGCGTATGTGACGTTGCATAAATTATTTTCTAGAGAGTAAAAACACTTATATTTCAAAATGATTCTCTTTTCTATAAAGCAATCGCATTTCTGGCTAGTATATTTCAGGACGAAGCCAAGAGCTTGTGTGAGCAAATCCAATTTTTGGCAGCAAATGTCAGTTACGCGGTTTTGCAGAAGACGATACGCGGTTTTGTACTTTAAACGACGATATATGTAAATTAAATTATACTCTTTCTGTAGTAATCTGTATCATATCACATATTTTCATTTGTTTATTTAAAAAGAAAGAAGATTTCAATGTAGTTTAAAAAACTAAATTTGATTTATTTAAGGAAACTTTTATGAATTTTACTGAAAAGACTTTAAATACACTCTAAAAATTTTGTTTATTTGCGCATATTGAGGGAGGTAACCTGTATGCAAATTTGCAAGCCGTGTAATAAAATTAATCATTGCCGGTTTACTTTTACACATAAAATGTTTAAAATAAATTAATGTTTATTATTAGTAGGAAATGTATTTGTAGTTTGAAAATTTTTGCAATTTTAAACATTCTACATATGTGTATTTATGTGTATATTTTAAAGGTCTCAAGTTCAAAATCAAATACTGAACATCCAGTACGTATATTTATACAGATTCTTTTTGAAAAATAGATACTTTTCAGTAGTAGTTTTACATGCTCTTTTTAGAGCGTACTTGCTATTTATTATATTTACTTTGCAAAATACTTATGCACAAAAAAGGTACTTTATAAATTGAAATTACAAATGTTTGATTTTATGCACATGTATTCCAAGTCCTTAGAATGGGTTAAGTTATGTCTTTTTCATGAAAATGTTTGGTTTTCTTACAAGTTATGAGATGTATATGTAAAAAAAGATAATTGGATACATTTGGATACATTTTTGGCTTGGTTTCTTGAGACGATGCGGCAACACTAGCACTAAGCACTAGATTTAGAGCTTTTTGAAAATTAAAACGCCAAAAAAAAAATACTTAGTGCCTAGTGCTTTTTTTAGTTCTTTTTTTAAACTAATATTACTCCGAGATAGTTAAAACCTGAAATAATTTGAAATATTATAAGCTGTGGTGTCTCATAAAGATGTGGAATTTACAAGAATATACAAATTTAAGTGCACTAAAACACAACCATGATTGATAAAAAGCTGAAGTTGCAAACCCAGCTTGTTGAATTCTATTCGCGTTGAAAATGCTAGTACGCAGGTAAGTTAAGTATTTCTTTTTTTCGTCAATGTTATTGTGGCTTGTTAACATTTTTTTATTTTTAATATTTTTATTGAGCTTTGTACCACGATTGTTTATTAGGAAAAATTGAAAAAGCAACAAAGTCTAAGCGGTAGAAGTTATAGCACTATTTCGGAGATCACCACATCTCCTCATCAGACTTCTTTTT